TCACTGCTGTTTCTGAATAAAATTATTTAAAAAACAATGATATTGAAAAATAAAATTAACCAAAGGACTGAGAAGATATCTCAACAGCTTATGTACCTGCCTGGCAAGCACAAGGTCCTAAATTCAATCCCCAGTGCAAAAAAAGAAAAAAAAAGAAAGAAATTAACCAAAAGGTTTAATATCCCTGCCTGGGATATGGTTTAAATCCCACTCCATCTCCCATAAAACTGTACATGTTGGGGATTTTCCCTTTTATTTCACTAATCTCTGTGAATGTATAGGTAAGACCATCATTGGAGAGTAATTGAAAAGTGAAAATAAGCAAGAAGATAAAGACTCATTATGATGTCTACCTGGCTATTACAGTCACTTGGGCAGTGCTCTCCCTAACACTTCAAGAGAACTGACCCTATCATAGCTCAACCCTAGACCAGGCTTCTGAAGTAACAGGACAGAAACTAAAGAGTAAATGGGAACATCCACAATCCAGGGACCTATTGGTCAGTATAGATCTGTCTCCTAAGTCACCTAATGACCAATCAGACCAGGACCTTGCCTCTCCAGCAGGGCTTCTTCCCCAAATCTAATAATACAGTCCATCCAGTCCATCTCACACAACACTGAGTTTTTTCTGAACTGTATAACAACAGACTGTTATCAAAATTTATGGATAGGGTTCTGCAATCAACAGATTCTGCCATAGGTCTCCACTAGAGCACACTTCTGGGTATGAGGTGTGGGACTGAGTCTCACGAAGAAGCGGTAGTCAGGTATTGCACTTAAAAACTGCATTCCAAGTGTCTACCCCAACTTTAGAAATTATTTGAGAAATGAAAAGTAACACAATAAACCCCTTTATACATCATTGTTGTTCCCACTAATGAAAAAATCTTGTTTCTTCCTACTCTTTAACACTGTCCTAATTTCTATAATTATTTTAAATTTCTCAAACTTATCTCAATAATTTAGAATTTAAAAGTGATTTCCATTTCTTTAAAAAAACTTAGTTTCCAGATCCTTTTGACATTTAAAGAAGAGCAGGGCCAGGGAGATGGCTCAGTGGAATAAGCCCTTCCCTGGCAAGCACAAGGGCCTGAGTTCGATCCCTGGTTCCGCAAAAAAAAAAAAAAAAAGCAAAATAAAATACTATTATTTTCTATAGCAAACTTTTTAATCTATAAAGCATACCAATGGGCTAATATGTATAACTGGGTAATACTGAAATAGTCTACAGAAATTATGGCTTTTTCAAACAATAGCATGTCATGCAATCATTTAAAAATCATGTAGTTAATAACTAATTCATAATTAAATACTGGAAAATGTATGTTTAGGACCCTAAGTTGTTTTAAGAAAAGCAACTTTATAAATTTTAGTTTGATCTCAACTTATGTACCTACTCATTTTACATCCCTGTATGGATATATTATACATAGAAAAATAACAGGAAGAGGGCCAGCCAGATAGCTCAGCAAACTAAAGCACCTGCTTAGGCAGAGCACAGTGCCTGGGGTTCAATCCCCAGCATGCTCTGCCAGCCCCGCCTGCAGGACACGCTAAGGCAATTGAGACTGGATGTGATGGTGTGCACTTGTAACCCCAGAGCATGGGAGGCTGAAAACAGGAAAATCACTGCAAATCCAATCTACATAGTGAGGCCCTGTACACCCTGTACCAAATAAGAAAGAAAGAAAGAAAGAAAGAAAGAAAGAAAGAAAGAAAGAAAGAAAGAA